AATACTGTAGTTATCTTAAATAGTTTCATACTGTCTTCTGATACTGTAGTTATGTTTCATATTGTCTTCTGATACTGTAGTTATGTTTCATGTTGTCTCTGATAGCGTAGTTATGTTTCATGTTGTCTTCTGATACTGTAGGTATGTTTCATATTGTCTTCTGATACTGTAGTTATGTTTCATATGGACTGCTGATACTGTAGTTATGTTTCATATTGTCTTCTGATACTGTAGTTATGTTTCATATTGTCTTCTGATACTGTAGTTATGTTTCATATTGTCTTCTGATACTGTAGTTATGTTTGAATCGTTTGATATGGACTGTTCCTGACTTCTTCCTAATTTTCGAAACGACGTTATGGAGTCTTTACTGAGTTCTTCATCGAGCTTCAGGGGTTCTTTTTTTTTAACATGACAAGTATTCAGTTTTGGAGGAAAGGAACTTTGCCAACTAGGGTGTTCGGGGATATTGATATCCCCCTTCGTCCCGCTTGTGTCGATTACGTTTGCCTGGAGTGGACTTTTAAGGAGGGTGTTTCGGATTAATAGATGTGGGTTTCTGAAGCTTTTGATTAAAGTTAAAAAAATGAGGACTGTGGTTGACATTCCGGATCTGGACAAATAACTCCGGTTCATGATCTGTTTCACAAGTTAGCTGGGATCTATAAATCCAGAGACAGGCGCCGAATAATCTACTCGTCTTGTGGGTGAGATTTAAAGACAAAACTAACCGGTTAATAAACATATTATAAATAGCCACATGAATGTGTACGTGTTTAGCTTCGTGTTGTTTTAAAATACTATTTATGTTAAACTAAACGTGGCAGGGATTTAGTTTGAAGGAAGAGATTGTTGCTTGCTCTTCCCAACTGGGGTGCTCAGGAACGGTTGTTCTCCCTCAGTCCCGCGCGTGAGAACAGTTTGTTACAGTGACTATAATCGCGATTAGAAACACTGATGAGAAGTTAATGAAAGAAAGAAGAGGGTCGGCAAGATTTCTAGTATTGGTGATGTAGACGAGGCGAGACAGAGAGATCCAGACGTACATACCTATGTTGGTTATATGAGGAATTAATTAAGAAGACTCTTGTGCCAATGAACAGTAGCGCGGTTCTGAGAGAAAGCTCGAAAGGAATGGTGATTGGCTGTGACAGTGTCGCGACCCAGAGAGGGAGCTCCAATACTGTTGAGTTTTAATTAGGCCTAAATGTGTTTCCTTAATCCAGGTTTCCAATTTTCTTTCTCTAATATAGTTTCAGATGTTTCCAGCTCTATTAATGATTGTTTTATACAGTCTTATTCTTTAATTTTTGCAGAGTTTTTATAATATGTTAATTTGTTGTCCTGTGTTGTGCGCATGCTCGGCTATGGCTGATTTCTTTGGGTGCTGAAGTCATCTTGAGTCTGCACGTTCTGTTTGTCTTTGTTTTGATGTTTCTTCCTGTTTTTACAATATATATATATTTAGCTGCAGCGTACACACACCGTAGACTACATACTTAAAGGTCACTAATTTGTTTTACTGTGGGTCACCTTACGGTATTTGAATATTAATATTAGACTTTTGGCAAATTCCATTGAGTTTTACTGAGTCGAATGTTGACTAAGAATTTCTTTGGTTTGATGGACGAGTCAACTTGGGTGTGATGAGAGCCACAAATATGCTCTTCGGACTGGAAATTTGACATGGAAAGTTCACTGACTGTGGGGTACAGAAGAGAACCCATGACAAGCCGAGAACTCGAAGTCTAACGTGGAAAATACACTGACTGTGGGGTACAGAAGAGAACCCATGACAAGCCGAGAACTCGAAGTCTAACGTGGAAAGTTCACTTACTGTGGGGTACAGAAGAGAACCCATGACAAGCCGAGAACTCGAAGTCTAACGTAGAAAGTTCACTGACTGTGGGGTACAGAAGAGAACCCATGACAAGCCGAGAACTCGAAGTCTAACGTGGAGAGTTCACTGACTGTGGGGTACAGAAGAGAACCCATGACAAGCCGAGAACTCGAAGTCTAACGTGGAGAGTTCACTGACTGTGGGGTACAGAAGAGAACCCATGACAAGCCGAGAACTCGAAGTCTAACGTGG